GGGACGGGCCTGAGGGGGGGGGGGCCGCCGATGGCCTCCGCGGGGAACTCCCCGGGCAGGCCGATCGGCAGCGCGTCGACGGTGAAGCACTCCATGGTGAGGCGCGCGATTGGCGGGGCTTGGAGAGCCGGGATTCCGTGCTGGGGTTGGTGGAGTGGGCGCTTGATTCCGCGAAGGCGATGGTTTGGGTTTCCCTTCTCGTGTGTTCCTTTCTTGTAATCACCACAGGACTCGTTGGAGAGGCTGGTAATGATTCGCTCCCTTAAGAAATTGCAGGCGATGGTGGAGAGTGAGATGAGGTGGGTCATTAACTAGGGTGGGAAGCACAGCTCCCTCGTGAAAAGAACACATGTAAAAAGTCCTGATCCAGAGCCCACGAGACTCGGGGCAACTATAAAATGGAATTCAAAGCAGAACACCAATCCCAACCACATAAATAACACACATTGAAAGACACATAAGAGAGTAGAAAGAAAGAAGAAGTATGGTTACCTATCTCGTTATATGAGCATCTCCCCTCCAGGATCGGCACGAAAGGTTGCTCATCGTAAGGAACTTCCTCCTCCTACCCACGGGGGAGACCTCCAGGCGGTGAGATTTGCACCACCGGAGGAGGAGATCCGCTCACTATCTCACGCGTAGAAAAGCTCATTACGCATGCAGACGAGGGGTAGCCCTCAACATATCTTGCGGCGTGGTAAGAAGTGAAGAAAACCGTCCACTCGTACTTAGAGCTCCCGTCGGGCGGCCCGAGGACGGGAGGTGTTGAGCTGCACCTCCACGTTACCCCGCTTGATATCCCATCACGACACCTGCATAACCGCCAAAGAAGCGTCATCCGAAACCGACAGCGCATCGGTGGTGAAGGTATTCCCTCACACTAACGGTCGTGCTCACCACCTCAGCTACGGACTACGAGCAGAAGACGGCATCAACTTTAGAGGGCGGTGATGCACAGAAAGAACACTTATAAGGAAATGAGACCTGCGGGCACGTAAAGTTGTCGTTGGAAGTTGATGAAAGAATCAATCATATAAAAAGAAGCTATTCGTCAAAAAGTGTATCACAAGGAGGGGTCTATAAGTGTTCCTAAAAAAAAGTGCGATGGATAGCACCCTACACTGTTTTTAAATCTTACCCTTCAAAAGTGAAGAAGATGAAAATTGTGTAAAAAATTGTCTCCGTCATTTTTTTTTATGATTCATGCAAGAAATGCTGTACATACGTTTATGAAGACTAGATCATCACCACCACAACTTCATGCACCCCCGCATGACGTATATTTTCCGTCCAATACAGGCGTATTATATATATATATATATATATATGAGGTTCCATTCGTCTACAACTTCTTACCTTCTTTTTTTGTGAGGGGGCAAGGAAGAGGATTACCAAGCGTCACCAATTAATCCAAGGTGACCTTGTATTGCATTCCTATATCCTTTGTCAAAGATATTTCGATATCTTTCTGACGCCACACCGCCGCCAACCTTTGTCGACCTACTTGCCACGCCACTAGCAGCTCCCGCATGAGGAAGAGCATGATGATATGAAACCCAGCGACAGGGATAATCTGCTCTTGGAAGCGCCTCTTTCCGATGAAAAGGAGCATGATCAAGATGGTCACCACGAATCCGAAAAAAATGCCCGGGATCTGTTGAGCGACCTTCAGGAGGGTGGGCAGGTGCTTGACAAGCTGCGCGATATCCGGCATTCCTCCCGCCCCGAACGGAGACTTTGCCGCACCGCGCACGCGCTCAGAACGCATATCGCGGAGGGAAGAGAGAGAAAGAGAGAGTGCGTACGACTGTGTGGGAAGAATGAGGAAGGAGAAAGAAAAATACAAAGCGCATTAACCTGAAGAAATTAAAGTATCAACTTCATACATGGTAGAAAATAGAAACCGTTTTTACCCAAAATCACCGTAAACTCGTCCAACACAGCATTTTCCTTCGATATCTTTTAACACTTCATTCTCTTTGAGGGCTTCCTTTTCCCAAACCACCTCATTCTATCCTCTTCCTCTCCACGGCAGGTGCCTTCTGTGGTCGTAGCCTCCCCCTCACCCCCCCCCCCCCCCCCTCCTTCCCTCTGACCGATCTCACGCTTCGTGAAGCCACAAAATCCGAAAACGTCCGTCAAATCGGTCCTTGCTCTCCT